CTATTGGTCTTATAGACATTGATTTACAATTAAAGGTATTGTTGAAGGATCAATCCTTTAATTGAATCATGAACCTACTAGTAATAAAAACTTAATTTTACTTTACCTATAAATTAATTTCTTTACACACTTTAGATTGGTATTTCATATACAAAATATAACAGATACATCGTACGTCAGTAACCTGATAAATTCCTTTAATGTGGCACGTCCACCTTCACCATGATGAACCGTTTAGAAAGAACGGATTCCCAATCGATTCGCTATGATCTTCGTGTTCTCTGAATACAAACTAGGGTCAGGTTTGCGTGGTCCGACAACAATAGTGCTAAATGCATGCTTCTATCAATCAGTGTATCTACTTACTTTATATCTACTGATGTTCATGTACAGTTAATGTTTAAGTTTTGTGCTTCCTGTAAATTGTGTTGAGTTTGACATTCCTGATCAATTTTTTATTACTCATTTGAGTACTAGAATTCTAGAAGTTTTCACAATTTTAAACAATGATGTATCACTTAACGGATGGAACATATCAAGTGTAACTTTTTTTTTAATTCGAGTAGACTTTTTTAGGATCGAAATGAAATAATGGCAAACTGAAATATTGTTATAAGAAGATAGAAAATGTAGGCTAACTAGGGTAAAGAAAACGAAAAGTAGGTACCTATTTTCTGACATGATGTTGATATTTGTATGTGCACTGTACAAGTAGTTAAACCTGTTGCATGTAGGTTAAGTCATGGGTGATTGTTTGACTTAAACTGATGGTAAATTGTCTATAGAATTTGTTAAGTAGGTTTTTGATATGCACGCAGCATTCCTAACGACTTGCAGTATTCTTTTTACTGACGATGTTAACATACAATAGACTTGTATTGGCTTAAGATACTTTGGTACCATTTTTTTACTTTGGGAATGATGGGTGCCGGTTTGGCCATGGGGCTGAAGAGAACCTTGCGGATTGAAGTAGGCATAGAAACGATGTGGTGTCTAGTCAGTAAGAGTCTGTCAATCCCTCTGGAGTCTCGACTCTCCTAAGGCAGGATAAATCATTAAATGAATTTACTCCCTCCTAATAAAACTACCTCGCCTGATGGTAAGCGATGATGTAGATAACTATAGGGCAAATATACACGTAATCAAATATAACTGTAAGTGAAGGACAGCTGAAGACAGGAAAATATATTGTTTCCTATTTAAACCGACATTCTTTAAAAGCCACGAAAGTAGTTCTACAAATAAATAACAAAATCCAAGATTAATCTGTTAATCTGATTCTTAATTAACTTGTTTCCTCTATAAATTTCTCGATTTACTATAAAAATACTTAAATTCTCTAGAATATAATGATATGGCGCCGTTTGTTGTATTTATCTATGAACGTAGTAAAATATAAATACCTAAACGATGCCACCGAAGCGAACAAATAAAAAATAATTGTAGCTATAAAATTTTAAAATGTATTTGCATACGTGAATATTAGATAGTTTTATTTTCGTTATATTTATGGTAGATAGGTATGAGTTTTATGCATGGAGTTTGTAATCTGGTTTTAATGCCTTCACAAACCAAGGAATTTTAAGAAACATTTAACTCTCTTGACCTTTTTGGTGTTGCATGTTTGTATTGTAAATGGGATCTTTTATAAAAAAAAACAAATGGACATATGATGTATTTCGAACAATAAATAATAGCTGAATTTGGATTTTTTTAATGTTTATACCTTTACGTGAAAATTTCTTCCCAATCTATATATCACTTTTCATAATTGATTTTTGACATATTCCTAAATGGTATTCTTGTCCTCTACCCTGTCAATAGAACAATCACAAGATACGCAACCTACGTCTAAAAACAAAACACTCAATTATCATTGAGGATCCATAAATAATAATTGTCAAGTTGACACGACATCTCCATTGTCTCTAGCAGGCTTCACACCGTCGGGTCACGACTTCGAATCAGGAGCAAAGCGTGAGTCGTATTAGCAACTCGTAACATGTTCGACATGGCCATAGTTTGCGCACGCGCATACAAAGCGGGCTAGTTTGAATTATTCCTAGATTTACATACAATTTCTGGCGGATTCGTCACTATGTACCGTGTTTTGATCGATGGTAATGAGATTCAGATCAATAAACTTTTGGTTTAGATACCCTTGGAAAACTTAAAGAAATGGGTAAGTTCTTAATTGATTGTACGGTGCTGTGGCTGGGCAACCGGCTGCCGCGCAACGTATCGCGGGTGCGATTCCTGCACGGAACAACTCTTTATGTAATCTACAAATTGTTGTTTCGGGTTTAGGTATTATGTGTATGTAAACTTGTATGTTTGTAAACGCACCAACGACACAGGAGAAAATCCTAGTGTAGGGCAACGTTTTTTTTTAAAAACTTAAAACACAAATCTTAATAAACCCTGTAATAGACCGGAAATCTTCTTACTACTATTAAAAGCTTTAAACATGCTATCCCCACTATTGGAAAACGTAATTCTCAATTGGAGTACGTATGTATTCCCAAGCCGTGGTCTATATCCAAGAAATTAATGTTACACTAACGAGGTTAACTCAGAATGCAACAAAACCTGCAATAATGTAACACCTACACCTTTACATAGAATTACATAACAATGAGTACAAGTAGTCGTTGCACCCACACCCAAGTCAACATCTTCTAACTACAGACAACAAGGCCATGTTACACCGAATGGTATCAACATCTCACCTTACTACGAACACGGAATCAACCCGACTAGTCGTGGGAACTGCACCGACAATGCGACCGCCAGACACTGCGACACAATAGTCTTGTGGCCAAAAAACAGGTTAATTTTTATAACCGTTCTATATTTTCTATAGAAGATTGCTCAGTAATGCGTTCAATAAAGTTGTAAATAATGTAGATGATGTAGATGAATCATATTCGGAAGTAGGACAGCTTTATAAATGTAACAAAGATATAAATTGTGGTCGAATTGAGAGCAGTTCTAAGAGTGGTAAAGTGGTGGTTGAAGAGGTCATTAGTCACAGTTCAGGGGCCAAGAAAGTGTTTATGAGACAATTGAATTGAAAAGATGAGAAAAACAACTTGATATTGAATTCTAAACACTTTAAGACTGATGAACATGGTATAAATTATCATTTTACATTTAAGTATATATTTATTACATAGTATTGTCATTTTTATCTTTTATGTAGAGGTATTATATGTAGTCTGTAAGTTTCATTGCTTGTTTAATTTGTTTTTTATTGTTTTTCTTCTATTTTGGTTTTATTATATTGTGTATCTACCACCCATTCCCAGATTCTTTTCAAAAATTCCATCCAAAGGTTGTCTGGAAGAAATCGCCGCGTGTGATAAGACCGCCCATTGTACTCAAATTACTATTGCAATGTTTACAATTTTTTTTCTGTGTGTGCAGTAAAGTATAAATAAATAATGATAAATGTATGAACGGGATCTTGAACAGAAAAGCATTTAAGCACTTTGGGGTTATAATTAAGAACTATCTAAGCCAATTGAGAGTCCTTCAACTGGTTAAAAATGGAAACATGAACCGTTATAAAATTTGATTGGTAGATTTAAATCATTCACCTCGTTCTCAATAATTCATTTGATAATAAATACATCACAATGATCATTAGCACGCTTGCAGTACAACAAATATCAATGTTATTGTTTTACGTGCGCATACACAGCTCTTAAAATCAATGTCAATTAGTATGGCCCACTGGACCTTGTCTCAACTACACTGAGGTTCATTATTTTCCTGTTTTTTGAGAATATTGTGATTCAGTTGTTGAAGGCAATGAAATGTACGGTTCGTTATGATTACGGTCATTATGCAATTTATGTCATACTTGTAAGCATATAATTTATAGTATCTGTTTAAGACGAATATTGTTTCCTTTCAAAACTAAATATATTATTTTGGAGAGGGTGAGTTTTGTGGTGGTTACTGGTTCCATTCCCGGGTTGGGCAAAGTTGTACTGGGTTTTAAAAATCTCAGTGGTAGCAAGGAGTCTGCAATTGTGCCCGGTATATGGCAATAGGCTCACCCCCTATTACATGGGACTCATAACATGAAATAGTGAAAAGTGGGTGTTACATGGTACCTACAGTGGCATTAAGGGCCGTAATGTACCTATCCCTTCTGCCTACCCCTTCGGATATAAAAGGCGTGATGTTATGTGGGTGTGGGTGGGTTTTTTATGTGACTTTTTTTAGTAATGCTAGTAACATCACTAGCCACGGTATCTGTTGTTCGTTGTATTTGTTGTGCTGGATCATAATACATATAAGAATGTTTTCGACTTAAGTATATTAGTGTTATAAGATTGTTTGTTTTCAAACAATAAAAGGTAGCGCAATAGATTAATGTCGAGGTGCTGTGAAACTTACATTAAAAGGTTTTTTTTGCAATATCTTTCTTACTAATCCTGTAGTTGTTAAAGACAAATGCTATAATATAATAGGTTGCACGATTGCAGAATTAAAGACAATAAATAAGATCAGTTATCTGCACAATGATGTCGGATGAGATATTGAAGGTTGCCGGAGTTGGGCATTGCGGAACTGCTAGTGACATGAGAAAGGCATTAGTACGGGGCTCAGTTTCAAATGATCGTGGTTCGGCAATTAGTTGCGTGTGACGTTGACTTATATTGTGAAACAAGGTTATGGATATAGGTCTGTAGTCGTGTTTGTATTGTGGAGACCATGGGATATTTTGTGACTTTACCCTTAAAATAATTGAAAAGATAAATAAACTTTTGTTTGGTAGAGATGAAATGCCACATATCAAACTGTTCCATCTGCCTTTCCTTTGCGGCTTTTAACATTAACTGCTAAATAAAATCCGTCAAAGAATTTTAACAGCTTGTACTTAGTACCCAGCTTCCGCCGTTTATACCAAACGGCGTTGTAGAAATAAACACAAAAGGCTCTAAGAAAACAATAGAAACGTATACCAATAAATATGTGTTAATTTAATGTTATGTACTCACAGTGTTGGTTGGTAGTACTCTCGCTGGCAGCGCGCGTTGTACCTCAGGTGACGCGGATCGCTCGCGCTCGCGCATTTCCGCGCATAATGCCGCCCGCGCAGCCCGTGCGCCTGCCTCCAGGCAACCGCTGGACTTGCTCCTGCGCATACGAGAAAATTTAAATTAAAAAAACAAACATGAAGATACAATTTTGTTTTTTTTTGTTTGCAATTCACTACTTGGAGGATAATCGAAAGAAAATAAAAAATATGAATGATGCGAAAGGAAAAAGAGTTTGAGACGCGATGACATCAGGTAAAGGAGATTAAAGAAATAGTGGTATTTGCCCACCCCTAAGTAACTTCAAATAAGAATAGAATAGAAAGATGATAGTAGGTTACAATAGAAATACGTTTTACTGCCTTTCTTCTAAGTTAAATAATGGCGAGTAAGTATACTAATCACACATAAATAACCGAATTAAACTATTAAAACACGAACTAGCCCAAGTCACTAGTATTCTACTATACCTGACGGGCCTGTCGATGGGTCCGAGCATGGACAGCGGCTGTTCTGCGGCGGGAGCAGGAGGCAGGTACATCACGTGCCCACCCCATGACAAGTACGAGTTACCAGGCCGCCACGTGCCCAGCTCCTCCTGGATTAGAAAAGAGGATTTTAATAAAGTAGTTAATGAAAATGTAGTGGCAACTTAAAAATTACTGAGACTATTTGGCCTTAAACATCGTAAGGTTGGTCTGTAAACGATTCTTTGATAAGCTTGATTTTCTTGGCACTTAGCCCACAGAATTAGAAGATGATAAATGATAAAATGATAGCCAATCATTATGTATCCTAAATGATAGTGTGTTAGTTTACTGTCAAGTCTAGTCTCAGACATAAACAGGCCCTAAAGAGCAAAGAGTTGTAAAAACTAATGGCTGGCTGGCCACCGAACACATTCAGAAGAAATTAAGCAAATTATTTATGATCAACATCCGTCTGCTGTAAATACAACAGTTTGTTGTAAAATATTGAATTATTTTTGAATACCTACTTCCGAGCTACTGAAGTTTGTTAAAACAATAGCAAATTACAATACGAACATAGTTAAAATAAGTTATAACTGAAGTGCTTTAGAAGCATGATTGTTGAAGAGACGTCAAGTGTGAAGATGGCTACTGATTTATGCAAAAACAGTTGTGTACATGTGGTAGCTAATTCTTCTTTTACGATTTCCCTTATTATACTGGCTTTTATCTTTATGAAAGGTAATAATTTATATCTGTATAGGTTGGAATTATTAAACCAACTTCATCTTCATTCACCGTTACAGATTACTGAAATATGTTTAAATTTACTTCTCCGACTGTAAAAGCTTACCTTTTCGGAAGCTGGTAAGGATTCTTCTTTAATAGCATCTTCTTCAGAACCCTTCGCCCTCGCAGGTGGTTGGAACATCAGTGGATTGGTCAAGGAATTAGGCGCAGACTTCGTTAGGAACCAGTTCTGTTCCGGCTCTTGTAACATCGGTTCATGTTCCAAGTCGAACCTTCTAGATCCTAAAGCTGCTCCTAAGGCACCAGATACCGACTTCCGAAGTTTCTGGAGACTGTTGAAGCCTTGCTGTAACTGTTTGCCCTGGAAGCAATCGTAGAAGCACGACATCGCTTTAAACTACGCGAAGAGTGTTGTGATCAGTCACATGGAGAGCTGATGAGGAATAAAGGTGGTACGAAAGGAAATCGCAGAGAATACGAGGCAAAGGATAGGAAGAGAAGGGGTATTGGACTCATAGACTTAATAGGAAGCAAAATGCTTTATATAACAAAGGAAGGGTCTTATGAATAAAAATGTAATAAGTAAACTGAAGAACTAAATGATGTGTACATCTTAAAGCTACATAAATACCACCATTGCTAAGCTAAATAATTGTAGAACTGAATGCAGTACCAGTACAATCGTTATAGAAAGCTCCTAAACCAACACCATTAACATAAAACATAGTAAAACAAAATACTTCAGTTACCATCACCTCCAATTCTGCCCAGCACCATATCAAGGTTTTAGAACATGTAAGTGCCTTTACTCCTCGTCAGCGACCGCGGGAGGTCAGGGGAGTGATTAGTTTGTTAGTCACCACGTTACTCTAGAATTACTACAACATTCATTATCCAAATGTGAGGGACCAAACTGTGGAGCAATGAGATCTTAGTCATACGTAGTACATTACATACTTAAAGTTGGTCCTATTTGACAAGTATTTTGTAAAAGTACTGGTTATTAAATAACAAGCAAGCGTTTCTTTCCTTTTCGTGAAAGTTGGTATTATTTATGTGGCGTAAATATGTTATTTATTTATTTCATGAAATTACTAAGTTCGTTGCATTAAGATCACATGCCTCCCTATTGGTCAAAAATTCCATAGTCCTCGCCTAACATCCCGCGGGTCCTGTCTCGGTACTCACTCGGTCTTGCTGATCCCTGGGCAGTGACAGGCTGAAGGGCTGGTGTCCTGGACTGTAGGTGGCAAGGCCAGCTCCTAGTAGGGCAACTCCACCACCTGCTCCATCCGAACTGCTGTCACCAAGGTCTTGCTGTGGTGTCCAGGCTGCCGGACTTGAGTCTTGCGCCTGGGAAGCACAGATAGTTGATAAAAATAGAAAAAATGTAATGATGATGATGACTTATATTTAGTATTGTTTTAATTATCTGTCGTAAATTCTTACATGATGTCTAGATGGAGAGTCTATCCTGTGATCTGAATGCGCATGATCTCCTGAGATGCCTGAGTCTCCAGATTTGTCGGCCGACTGGTCTGAACGGGGTGATGACTCAGCCGATATGTCGCCTGACATCTTTGTTTCGACAGCTAACGGTTGAGTTTCTGTTGTATATAAAAAAGTAAGATTGAAATCATCGACATTATCACTAAATTATTTATTACAGCTAATATTCAGATAAAGGACCTGCGGCGAGATGATCATCTAATGATGCTAGCTGTCTCCAGGCTGCTGCAGGAGAGAATCGTGGCACAGCACGCTGCTTTTTGGGTAGTGTGGGTCGCAGGCGTAGCGCGATACCCAATGAACCTTCTGAACATGAGCCCTCTGAGCCCTCTGAAGATAGTGCAGATTCCGATGATACTGCGTAGATGGACAAATTATGTATTAGCAAAGCAATACAGCTTAATTATTATAAAAGTTATAATGACGTATGAATATTACATACAATTCTTAACTTTAGTCTCCTCTTTTATCTTGGCATTAAACTTGTCAAATTCCTCGTCTTCTTCATGATAGTTGAGCAGTTTTTGTTCTATGAGGTGGAAGTTCGAAATTTCCTCGATGATAGGGCTACCCAGTCCTGGGAAGTCCTTCAGATGCTCGTGTGTGTTGGTCTGCTTGCTCTCTATCATACCGAAGTAAAACTGCTTCGATGGAGCTTGTTGTTTTGTCCTGAAAAATATAAAACTACTGTTTTAACAATTCGGATTGTTGAGCGTTAAATAATTTTTTCACTTTCGGTTAAATTAGGTTAAGCAAATGAATGTTATTCAACTTACTTTTCTTGAGGTGGGTTAATCAAGGAGTCCAACTTCCTAGTGGGTGAATGTTCAGGCGTGGACTCCTTCCCGGAGGCCTGCCCTCTGTCCGGCATCGGGCGGCTATTCTCCTTGCTGCTCACTTTGTATTTATTGTCTGATGTCTTGGCATTAATGTTGTTATTCGCCTGTCTAGTTTTATCCTCGTTAGCTCGACCTAGAGGCCTCCTACTGACGACCTTAGTGTCTGGCTTGTTGGCAGCACTTGTTAGACTAGACTTTTTGACTTTATTCGGTATTTTCGTTGGGCTCTTCTGCTCTTTCTTCTCTTGACTAGTTTTGGTTTCACTATCATTAATTTTACTGCCTAATTGATTTCTAATTCTACTCGTAGCCTTTTTGAGTTCCGCTTGAAATTCATCTTTTTCTTCATTATTTTTTAACAATAGTGAAGGAAGAGATTTTCTCAATGGTTTGCTGGTCTCCGCCAGGGGGCTCAGCTTGCTCCCCCGGAGCTGTTCGCCGATGGCTTTCATCCTGCTCTCATGGACCGCTCTAGAGGGTTCGTTTTCTCTTTCACTTGCCATTAGAGTTTCATCGAAGGTCCTCTCTCTTCTGAGCGTGGGCAGTTCATTGTCATCTTTCTTGAACCTCTCGGAGTACCTGAAATTCCTGTTTAGTAGTGGCGTCTTCCACGCTTCGCTTTGTTCGGTCTTGGACGTCTTCGCTCGACATCCGCTCATCCTGTCTATCCTCGTCTTCCTGTAGTCTTGTTTCGTTTGTATGAGTCGTTCCTCTCTCTTGAGTGAGGCAGTGCTCTGCACCATGTCCTGGTTGTCAGGATACTTGAAGTGTTGTTCCTTATCTTTACATGGCGACCGATATCGTCGTTCAAAAGCTGCATTATCGGTCATATCGAGTGACTTGTATTCGTGATATGAATTTCTGAACTGCAAATTGTCTTGGCCGTTCAGTTTTTTGGTTTCGTTTCTAGTTTTGAACAGTCTTAGTTTCCTCTGGGGTTCAGGTCTAGTGTTTCCTTCGCTGGAATCAGGCGACGAACCTTCGAAGTTCTGTGAACAATGCGTTGTCTATAAACAATATGGTTGGAAACATGGTCTTGAGTTATTGTTTAAGTTTCCTCGTTACTTACGTCATTGGTGGGAGGAGGAGGTGCTCTGTACTTTTTCCGGAAGTGTTTATTTCCATTTCTCGTTTTCTGTTCTTCTTCTATTCTTAGATCCGGTTCAGATCCAAATCGTTTGTTTATACTGCTGCCTGAAATTACAAAATTTACAATTAAATACATGTTTTTTTTGACAGTTTACTATTAACGGTAACTATTGTGGAGATCGATATGAGGTACTCACTATCATGTCGTAGCTCGAGGTTGGTGTGTGACCTGTGCAGCGGGTCCCGCTCCCTGGAGCGTATCTCACTGCCGTCACCCGAGGTACCGGCTGACCGTGACCGGTACACATTCGCGTGCTGAAACATTGCACCAAAAATATGATTAGTTTGCTCTCTCAAAACTAACACATATACCTACATCATGTTTGATCAGACTTTATGAACCCAATAATTGTTATCGTGTACAGGATTCATGAGCCATTAAAAAGTACAATGTGTATTAAGTTTGCCTATTTTTCTTAGAATGAAATATCTTTAATTTCCTCACCACATGTCCGTGTGGCACATTTTCATGTATAGTGTTGGGTCTCCTGCCGCTGATGGTGCCGCCTGAATGCAGGATCGCACCGTTGTCCGTGCTGCGCAGGCGCGGCGACTCGCATAGAGTGGGTAGCACCTGAATTAAAATATAAATATAAGATAAAACTATTACTTGTCATCAATAATCGCTAGATTATCACCATAGTTTGATGTTATACACTGTCTAGTCTAGACAAATAAATTAACTACTGAACGGATACGGTTCTCATAAGGGGCTATATGGTTCTCGATAAAGGTTTATGTTCTACTAAGACTTAAGGTGTGAGTGGAAAACAAGTCAAATAAATGAGGGGTTAGTTACCTTAGGCGCGAGCCGGGGCGGGTCGTGCGGCAGGGTGTGCGCGCGGCGGCCGCGCTGCGGCGGCGGCGCGTGGCTGCCGGCCTGGCCCATGCCGCGCCTCTCCTACACACACATCTGAAACAAATAATAATATAATTGATTAATTTAAAATAAATATTATCAGAATCCGTTGCATCCACATAAAATTACACAGTTAAAATAACATAGTCTCCTAAGCCCCGCCTGTCTTTTCGCGATAAAATCTAAAATGCTCGAAACGGTTGTTACACTATCTACCCACTACACTAGCCGTTTCGAGCATTTAGGTGTCTCCCGTAGTATGATGATGATTTTTGACTACCTAAAGCAAGTCTCGTGAAGTATCAAGTATTATAGGCGAAGCATTGTGCTGAAAGCTATTATTTTTATCGAAAATCTGGTTTAGAAGTTATCTCGTGGTTATATAGTATTTGCTACTAAACATAGATATCCCAATATTCTCCAAACTTATTATTGTTGCGGAATAATTCAAAGCACCACTAAATAATTATGTACTGTTTACAATGTAAGTAGGTACGTACAACTTCTAACACCTTTTCACTTTACCTTTCATAGTATTACCGCTCATTTATTTAGTCTGTCTTGTAAATACAGCCAGCTAATTACAGTTTTACTACGATAGTAAACTTTCATAGAGAAAGTTATTATATGATACAACTATTTAAGACATTCTTCCTTATTGAAAAAGCTTGCATCATCGACAACAAAGAGTAATTAATTTTACTCTATGGTCGATCTTAAATGTCATATTTCCCGCCTTTTGTTTGTTTGGAAAATAAACTATAAATAGTTATTTCTGAGAAAATAAACACGAGCTTAGTGCAAGGCATGCATCATAGTATTATTATTATTATAAACGGGTAGATAATGATGAAGACCCCTGTAAATTTTTATGTGTTATTACAAAGAAAGAACAAAAACGACACAGAGGTTAGAATTGTACAGAACCTCTTTCTAGTCAAAGTAAACAATAAAACTATTATAATCTTTAAAAATATACGGATTATCATTTTTGATTAACAATAATTACAAGTTATGGGTTGATAATGAATAGTAACGTAATCTCTACGATCGACTCCAAGTTCATATTTTATATTAATCCTTTAGCATGGCCATTACTCACTCCGATAACTTTCTCTAATTACAGAGTCACTCGGACCTTAAACACACTTGATTGTAGATTATTATCTTCAAAATATTGTTATGACTCCTGTACAAGGATCATTACGGACAGACAGACAGATTATTAACTTTTATTAAACAGTATTTGATGAGCTGGTTCCAAAATAGGTCAGTTGTCTATTTTGACAGGTAATGAGTAAGTAATTGAGCTTCCTACAGCCAAATTATCGACTTCAAAGACCAGCACATCGACATGCTCTAATTTAGACAAAAGATTTTCAACTTTACCCCTTTATGATAAAGTTGAAAGTGTATTAAAGATGTGATAGATTAGTGTTGGTTGATCTACTGGCATGTGGACGGCTAATTCTTATCTATTACAGTAGGTGTGTCTTCAATATAACGTCCCCGTTTAATAAGGACCCCGGGCCCCCATATTTCAGGGTCGGGACAGGGCTCCGAGCGTCTTGTGCGGCCCACACCGACAATTTAGGTAATTTATACTAACCAGTACTGTTTAGATTTATGGGAATGGAAAGCTGTCGAGGCTTCTAATGAGAGATTTAAAAATAACTGCGTTTCTCCTCAGTGCAAGTGAAGGCAGGACTCCCTTAGTGGTCAGACGAGATTGGATTTATTGGAGTACCTTGTAGCGTAGAGCTATCTATGTCTTTAGATTCTCACATTTATCTCTTGAGTAGTAAGTATATTCTTGTTGACACAAAAGTTTTTATGGAATAAGCCGATAAACGGGCTGACGGATCAGCTGGTTGTAAGCAGTCGGCGTCGCCCATGGACACCCGAAACACCAGAAATGTTACCAGTGCGCTACCGGCCTTTTGGGGATTAGGAATTTGAGGATTCGGATATTGGGGAAATTGGGGAGGGGGTAATTGGACCTCCGGTAGTCTCACTCACACGCACTCACGAAACACAATGCAAGTGTTGTTCGAAATCCCGCTTTAACTTAATCCCGCTTAGGTAGCTAATGTTGTGAACATAGCATTCTAGGAGCATTTCATTATCAGCGGGGAGTACATTAAATAAATAATACTATCAAAACCAATTAACCAAAGTGTTAACAAACAACCAGAACGTAATGATCAACCTGACATAACACTCAACAATAGATATCTAATAGTAGATCAATATATTTAAATATCACAAGTTCAAACTAAGTACAAGTTCGATGGTATTGGAGTCAAGGCAGCGACTATCGCATAGTAAGTGTAGATTCCCACGATACTTGATACAAGTATTAATTAATTCAACCCATTGAATAAATGGTCTACCTAAAGTAAATGTAATTTGCTTTGTAATACACATACAATATGAAAGTACCTACTACTATTTTAAATAATAGTTGTAAGGTTTTTCGGGTTGCTCGACTTATTTCGAGCCACACAGAGCCCTTATCTATAAGTCCGTCTCCGTATCTATAAGTATGTCAATATTGTATAAGGGCTCGTACACAAAACAGCGATGCGATGTTAATTCGCAACATAAAAAAATACGATGTGAATTACTGCGATGCGATTTCGAGCGACAAGGCGTTACTTAGGGTGACCATTCCTTCGACGACCGTCAATCGTACTAAACGTATTTTAAATTGAGTACTAGGTCGTGACATGGATCGTAAAAATAAGTGTGCACTTCTTAGGAGATACAGGAAATAGAAACAAAGAAGAATTTGGGAAGATAAGATTTTGATGCGCGATGCGAATCAATTCGCAAGTTCTAGCGATTCGTAGAGGGAACTCGCTCATTTTTGCGATGTGACATCGCATCGCAGTTTTGTGTACGAGGTCTCAGTAAGTTTTACGATAGCGTCTGTATAAAAATATTTTATCTTTTATTAGTGATGGGTACAGAAACCTGATGAAATAACACAACATTAGACCAGACAATAGAAAAACGAAAATTTGCAATAATAAATTTGTTTGACTCGGTATCAAGACCGCTTGCTCAGTATCCAGCCTTCCGTACTTACGGCCACCGCACCAACGAGGTGCAATAAACAAACAATTAACAAACAGTTACTCGGTATGAATAATATGAATATGTAACAGACAACAGTGGTTTAGTTTAATCAGCTCGTGACACAGATAGCCGGCAACAATACTATAACGTGAATCAAAGCATATCCGCGTGCAATGCTGGGAGCCGCGAGTTTATTCAATAAAGTAATAAGTATTGAAATCATTTGTATTAACAGTATTATGTGTTTATAATAACGATCGTGAGACATACTCAATTACATATAGCATAACGTTACGCCTTTTAAGCCTGAAAGGGTATCACTGTAGAATGTAACACCCACTTTGTACTATTTATGTTGAGTCCCATGTAAGAGAGGGTAAGCCTATTGCCGATAATTTCAGCCGACGTGCTACTACTGAGATTAAGGGACCCTTTATAGACTTTATAGCCTTACTCATATTCATATACATACTGAAATAACTAAACATTACCTACGTGTTACTCACGAAAATAAACTGAGAAAAGCTCTACTAGTTTCGAACCACAGAGGGGTTCTTCCTAATGATCTTCATTGATTAATTGTTTTGGAATCATTTCTTAGTATGGAGGTTTCATTAATTGATTTAAGATAATTGTTAAAGGGTCAATTTTGGATAAGAAAATTGTCATCGGGAATAAAGTCAGAAATATCATGGTGTCTGGTCTGGATTCGTGCTTGGTGTTAGAAATATTGAATACTGAATCTTACTTATGTTTGCTCGCGTAATTATTTGACGAGGAACTCGACTGGTTTCAAGCCATGCGGGACTCATATTCGTGAGCAGCATTCCGCGAGGCGCGACACGGCGACTGTCGCGCTGCCACTGAATAATTAATTTAGTATATCTCACGAAGGTTATAGTACTGAATCTTACTATTGCACTATGTATGTACTTATTTATCTACCAGTCAGAATGTACTTACTATTTAATTGATTTCTGTATTTATAGGAGTGAGATGTCTCTTACTGTTCCATGCATATTGAAGGCAAGAGTGCGATGTGTTTAGTTTTCTCGCGGACACGTCACGGATGCGTCCGGCCCCACTTTCTTTATGATAATCTGCGCATGCGCAGTAAACAGACAAACAGATGAACACTCCACTATACACGACTCATGTCACCTCAAGGGTTACAGTTTAATATTGGTTTTATGGGAAAATCGGCTTAGCTTTCTCTTTGTTATCGTTTCTAGAGAAAATGTTAGATGTGTGGGTGGAAGCTGTTTAATGGGTGTCAAGTTCAACATAACTTATTTAAAGTTACATAAAATATTCGATGTTCGTGCATTCTCATTATCATTCTTCAAATCTATGATATACCAAGTTACGTGTGCCTATAAAAACCAATCAATATACTTTGTAATGTTAACTGGGTATCGGAAAGTAGTCATAACTTTTTTAATCTTATTTCAGGAAACCTTTTATCAAAGCCACCATACTTTAAACAAAACTCATAACATAACATCACGTGTTTTTACCCCCGAAGGGGTAGGCATAGGTGTACATTATACGGCACGTAATGCTACTGTACAATGTAACACCCACTTTTCACTATTTATGTTATGAGTCCCATGTAATAGGGGGTAAGCCTATTGCCATGTACCGGGCCCGATTCTAGACTCCGTGTTACCACTGAGATTTTTTTTTACAAAACCTAAAAACTTTGCCCGACACGGGAATCGAGCTCGAGACCCCTTGCCCTGCAGTCGCACTTGCGACCACTCGGCCAACGAGGCAGTCTTTACACGTAAGTACGTACTTTAAACAAACTTCCTATTAAATATCAGTAAAGATAATCACAATATAAATGAAATAATATTAATAACTCGTGCATTATTTCGCTCTACAACTCCTACTGCACTTCGCTTCACACGCGTGGATCTCTTCCTTGGATCTCTGGAATTCTCGAGATCCCTGATACATACACGTTTCTC